GCCTTATATATATATATATATATATATATATATACTTCACAAAATCAATGCGTAGCTGAAGTTGCTTAATCATAGTCGCATCAAGACAATGAAATATATAAGTCCTAAAATATATAAGAACGTACATAAGGTACTTGATAATAAATAAATGTTGAGGATGATGATAGAAATGTGTGTCTCTTTTTCACTTTCCTAATGAGTAAGGAGCTCGGTGCTTGGTGGAAGTTTCATTGGTGCAAAAATTAGTTTTAAAATTAGGATTTTAAGATCAATTAAAAGATAATTCATCTTAAAAGTGACGTGATGATAATTTTGTAAATAATGTGAACATTTTTAAGATTGATTATTCTATGATTGATCTTAAATGATATGTTTGGCACAACTTTTAAAATTGGTTACAAAAGAACTGATATTAAAAATGGTAGATCGATTTTGTTAATATTTGATCTTAAAAGTTGTATTAGACATAACTTTTAAGATTAGTTAGAATTTAATCAATCTTAAAAGTACCGTAATTATGTATGAAATGCTCCCCCTTGGTTGTTATCCCTAGTGTGCACCTCCCTTGCTCAGTCTCCCTTAGTTTGCGAACATATAGTCCCTCGCACCTCTGTTGTTCCTTTTCGGTTGTTCTCCCACGAGCGTGCCTCCCTCACATGGTCTCCCTTACTTTGTGAACGCATCCCCTTGTGTCTTTGTCACTCCACGTTAGTCGTTGTCCCTCACATGCACCTCCCTTGCTCAATCTTCCTTGCTCTATGAATGTAACCCCTTGTGCCTTCATCGCTCCTCGTCGATTGTTCTCCCTCACTAAGTCTCCCTCACACCATGAATGCAACCCCTCGTTCCTCCATCGCTCTCCCTTGGTCATTCTCCCTTATGCATGTCTCCCTCACTCTATGAATGTAGCCTGAACGTGTGTTCTTCATCTCTGGCAGTGTTTTGTTTGAACACAACCTTTCATTAGCCACTGTTGTTCATCTTAAAAATTGATACTTCTAAGATCGATTATGAAACAATCAATTTTAAAAGTTGGACTTTTAAGATCGTCTCTTTTAAGATAGATTCTTTAACCGGTCTTAAAAGTAAGAAATAACCACTCTTAAAAGTATTTTTCCTAGTAGTGCTTGTGTATCTTTTTTTCTTAGTTGCAAATGTTATTCCAATGTTTTTAGGTAAGAGGGAGAGTGAGATTGTCTTTACTTATTGCATATATGAGAATTCTAGGTAGTGAGACAATCCTAAAGTCTCTTTAGTTTCTCTCTTGATTAAAAATTGGATGAACGGACTCAAAACTAGTTTAGAATTGATCTAGAAAATTGGATTGAACCGGTATTTTTAATTTTTTTCTAAAATATTTAAAATAATTTTATGATAAATAAATAAATATATTTAATAAAAAATTTAAATTAGAATAAATAATTTTATTTTTTTATTTTTAATAATTTTCTTATAAAGATATAATTTAGTCATTTATATTAATTTATAACTTTTATATCATGATATTTTATGTTATAATAATTTAAGATTTTTCTACTCTAAATATGTATTTGTTAATATGTATTGTTATATTTTATGAAAATTTATACTTAAATATTATATTTAGACTTTTACATGCACTTTAAAAAATAAAAAAATATAAAATGATGTTTTATTTTAATATTTAATTTTATGAAAATATGATATTATATTTATGTAATATTATTTTGTATTTTTTAACTATTATCATTATTATTATTATTATTTTATTAATATAGGTTCAACCACGATTAAATCATTGAATCTTGAACCGATGTCTTGATTGGTTTAATGACTGGTTCAATTTTAAAAATATTGGGTAAAACCAACACTTAGGAGTCAACACAGAAGTCATAATTGTCTTAGCTTTCTAATAAAATTAATATCAACTTGATAACATAGATATAACTCTAGATATTGCATTTACACCAAATGATGTCATGGAAGCTTAAGATAAGGAAAGAGTTTCTGTGAGTTATAATGGTGAGTGTTAAGAACTAAGAGCTAAGTGAAAGGAACTTAGCATTATGAGTTGTTACGTGAGTGTTTAAAGAGTAATTCAGATATATAAATGATAAGGGTTAAGGGTTAAGGGTTAAAGTTATGTGTTTGAGATGTATATGGTTATGAACAATATTTGTTATTATATTGAGCCACGTGAAAAAGTTATGTGATTGATATATTAAATGAAGTGTTGCTTGTGTTATGAGTTATGTGTGTTTTATGAGTTATGTGCATGATGCAAGTTAAGACTAATTAAACAATGACTTAGCAATGTGAAATCCATGTTATGCTTGGTCATTTGTGAAGTCTAGACAATTGTCTAATTAGGTGAAAGTTTAGGCTTGAATTAGCAGGGTGATAAGCATGATATGTGAGTTAGGCATCATTTTGGTGTGTGTGATGTGTTTTGTAGAGAAAAGAGAGATACTAGAAGGAAGGTTAAATAATTTCAATAAAAAACTAAACACCTTTTGAAACAGTAAAATAGTATTAAAGACCTTACAAATGTAGACAAAGTGTCAAGAGAAAAGAACACAACACAAAGTATTTATATACTAGCTAGTTCATCTCAATCACTGAGACTACGTCCAGTTCTTGATCAACCTAATCAAGTTTCACTATCTTTTACAAAGGTACAAGTATTCTTTCATAAGCCACTTTTGGATCAACCTAATTATTCTTTATCTTTGCTTTTCAAGTAACTACCCAAGTATTCTTTGAATAATGAAACCTCTCCAAGTTTCAACAACCAAGTATTCTATAACAATAAAACCTCTCTAGGCTTCAAAAACCAAGTATTCTTTAACAACAAGCCTCTCCAAGCTTCAAGAAATAACACAGATTTAAAGTTGGAAAAACACTTGTTTTATCTTACTATATAATCAATTTAGTATAAAGATTTTTATAAAAAGAATGAATACAAAATTTTTACAATGATTATTTTCTCTTATTTTTGAATCTTCAAACTTTTTTATATAGGTGCTTCATGAAAATGACCATTTCAAATCCTTGAGCATCTCTCATAAGCTTGCTTCATTTGTCTTTGTATTCCTTATGAGAATATGTGTCTATTGGTGCATTAATTGCATTTCACCAAATTGTCACTTTTTATCTTATCAAGAAGGTTACTTATCACATTTTTGTTACCAAATGAAAGCAATTTTTGAATATGTTAGTCTAGAATGACTTTTTATGATATTTCTCATGCTTTGAGGGATTTACTTGTCTTTTCTCTAACACAATTCATGTCTTATTTCCTTTTTGAAGTGCGAGAAATGAAGAAGTTTTTTTTTTATTTCTTTCGATCTGTTAAGGAATGTCATAGAATAATATGATTTGATTATCATATATCATAAATGATATATATCAAATGCATTCATCTTATAGACGGTTTAATTTATTAATTTGAGAGAATACACGTTAGCATAACCAATCATCTATATTAATTCATCTTATGGTATGATCTAAAAAACGTTTATCTGAAAAAATGTTTAAGTTTGTTAAATTTAAAACCCTGAGGGATCTAAGGTCATTTTTTGATTTAATGTGTTTTAATTCATGCATACATATATAGTTTGTTTAGAGATAGATGTGAGTCTTTGTGAAAGGGTCTTTATAAACTTTTTCCTTGGTCCCAAGGGTGGGTTTTATTGTGGGAAACTACTTATCTATGAGTGGGATGAGGGAAACCATGAGCAACCATAGTAGCCCAACTAGCTCATGATAAATCTTTATTCTTGATAGGGTGGACCACGTGTTGGTTACTGATTGTGTGGTAATTATTTTTTTGCCCATGTACTCCTAGACTACTTCATATGCGTGCACTTTGTGCAAATTAAAATTTTTACCACATTCATATTGATAAGA